TGCGTTTTGCTCAGATCTCAATACCTCAGACGCAAAGGTGTTTCTGTGTTGCTAATGTCCATGTTTGTTGTGGTTGTCCTCTACAACAGTAGACAGGTATTCTATTAAAAGCTTATTCAAATGTTTAATCATAGGAACTCATTATACAGTATGCTCCTACTAGTCATTTAAATAATATAAGATCATTACATATTTATTTAACAATTAAGAAATGTATTTATTTAAAATATATCTAAATAATAATCAAACCACCACTTAGCTATAATTATCATCATGTTGGGGGAAAAAAATCTATTTGTAACTGAAGGAATCAAAACTGACATGCAGTTTTATATTTATCTGTGCTTTATTTCAGTATGATTGAAGAAATTATTTCTGCTTATTCCTACAGTTAGAAACTACAGCCAGGCTTGACTTCCTGTGGCGTCTTCAGGCCAGACAGGAAGTGGAGGACATGAAGGAACTTAGGGAGCATAACGAGTGTCTGCTGTACAACATCCTTCCTGCCCATGTCGCTCGCCACTTTCTTGAGAGAGACAGAAATAATGAGGTAGTTGCATGGATTATTGATGACAGATCCTAATAGTTTCACGTTTGGTCAGAAAATAAGTAATACAATTATCCATAAAACTATCCAGTTATTTGGTTTCACATTGAGGGCTATTTTGAAGCATTTCAATCGTCTCAGTAGTTATGGAGCACTTTCATTAATCCATAAGTATAAATAAATACATTTTCTCTGTGTCAATTCTTTGGCTCCAAGGACCTGTTCTCTGAATCCTACGAGCGAGTTGGGGTGATGTTTGCTTCCATTCCAGGCTTTACAGATTATTACGAGAAGAAAGAGTTGATTCATCAAGATGTGGAGTGTCTGCGTCTTCTTAATGAGATCATCGCTGACTTTGATGAGGTACGTGGATTTGTGCAGCATCCTCTCTTAGTACCAAATGTCCTCAAAGCCTAAGCCTGGACATGCTCATAGTTTTAACGGCTAACAGCAACTCTCATGTTACTAATGGAATGTATTTTAAATGTGCAAATGCTCACGTCTTTATCATAAGATTCTGTAATAGTGAGAAATTTCAATTTCAGAGACAGGTTTAATCTTTTTCCCGTTTGTCCCGTTAGCTTCTGGAAGAGCCTTACTTCCAGGACATAGAGAAAATCAAAACCATTGGCAGCTGCTACATGGCTGCATCTGGCCTGTCTCCTGAAAAACAGGTGTGTGCTACATTTGACATGTATGCCTGACAAGATAACTAGATGTATGATATACAGTATACCAGTGACCATATCAATATCAGCCAATGTTGCTAATAGTATTATAGGCATCAGTTTGATTAGATAAATGTTGGAATCAAATTATAAAACATTTTTTTTGAAAAATATGTACAATATTAACAATTAATAAAAAATAAACATTGGCAAGGCAAATCAGGACAAAGCATTAAAAAGTATTCATAAATGATCATGAATATTAAAAATGCATAAATATAGCTAGTAATTAAATAATTAAGTAGTAACTGAAAATGTACATTTCTACAAATTAAGGCTCAGTTTTATTAATGTGTATTTTATAGGAATGTGAAGATGAGTGGGCTCACCTCAGTACGCTGGTTCTATACGCTTTGGCCATGCAAGAAACTCTGAAACAAATAAACAAACGTACCTCAAACAACTTCCAGTTGCGTGTTGGTAAGACTGTGCTATTCTTTTATTTAACATCTACTAATAATACACAAAAATATACTGCCAATTCACATATCAGTTTAAATAGGGTTTGCTTTATTTGATTTTATTTGATTCTGTCACTTGTGCATGTTTGAGGACTACTTGCTATGAAGGGAAGTAATTCACCTGCTCGGAGCTAGTACAAACACACTAATGAGCTTAAACAAGACCATCAGTATGATTTGAATGTGATTAGATTGGACTATTATTAGGATTATTATAACAATAATACGATCTTTGAATTTTTATTTAAAATTAGATCATAGTTCTTTGGCCAACATGAAATCAATACTCTCTTGATGCACTTGCCTGGTCTTATTGTATGCAACTGGTGTATTTTATTCCGAAAGAAAATGTTTTTTAAACAAAAATGTGGTAACTTGCTCTTCTCCTGAAACAACTTTAATGTGCACGTATAACTGCTTTTCTATCATACAGGTATTTCTCATGGGCCTGTAGTCGCCGGAGTGATTGGCGCCTCTAAACCCCAGTATGATATCTGGGGCATGACTGTGAATCTTGCTAGCCGAATGGACAGCACAGGGCTCAGTGGGCGTATTCAGGTTCCAGAGGGCACTAGCCGTATCCTGGCTGACCGTGGCTTTGTGCTACAGCTTAGAGGAGATATCTACGTCAAAGGGGTTAGCGAACAGCGGGGAGGGGTCTGCACGTACTTTGTTAGCAGTAGGGAACAGAGCTCAAGCTATGCCGAGAGAAACACCAGCAGAGGGATCTCTCTCGGGAGAAACACCCTCGCAGCGGTGGTCTTTTCCCTGGTGCAGGCCCGCAAGAAGGAGGAGTTACGAGAGGCCAATGGAGGTTTTCATCTTATGGAGATCACATGAATTTTGATTAAAAATTGGACAGGAACCGTATTTAATACCTCTTTTAGAGACTCTTACGTCTCTTCCATGAGTCATTGCCTTCGAGAGATTTTCCACATTCTCTATTATTCTTGCTAAATAGTAACTTTATTTCTCTTGTATGTCCAGATTTCTGCTGATATTCAAAGTTGCTTATTATGGAAGCCTATTTCTACCTTAGAATTTATTAAAAAATAAATTAAAAAAAAGGTAATTGTGACTTTTTATCTCACAATTCTGACTTTTCTTGCATTTCTGGAAAAAAAAGTTAGAAAACAAACTCAGAATTGCAGGATACCTCACAATTCTGAGAAGAAAAATCAGAATTGTGAGATATAAAGTCGTAACTACCTTTTTAATTTTTTATTCTGTGGTGAAATGCGAGATATAAACTCAGAATTCAGAGAGAAAAAAAAGTCATAATTGCAAGATACGAATTCGGAATTGTGAGGAAAAAGTCATAATTATGAATGAAAAAGTCAGATTTTGTGAGATTGTGAAATAAAAAGTCAAAATTACCTTTTTTTTTATTATTCCATAGCAGAAATGGGCTTCTGTAGCTTATAACTATGGAAACAGTGAAAAACATCTAAAAGTCATGTTTCTTTTGTCTTGGAGTTGGCATCACTGGGATTGTTAGCCAGTTTGAAACTTTAAATGTTTGGAATTTAAACTGGCCAATTAGCTGATTGTCTGACACATTTGTATTATTCATTAATAAACCCTGAAGAAGCTATAAATCCCAGGATTATACCAACATATCAACATATTGTTCTTTCTATGAAATGTATGTAACAAAAAATATTTAGATTGAAAACTTTTCTGATAATCAGACATTTTTAGATGATCAGCAGTTTTTCAAACTCCCCTGTTTACATGGTTGTGGGACAAGAAAAACAAACAAACAAACAAAAAAGCTTCTGTCTCTATGTTTTGGGAGTTTTTTAGGGATTGTACTTTGATTTTATGATTGATAATAAAATCTTAGAACATAATTAATATTAACACAATTACAATTAAGTCAAGAATAAATGAGCAGGAAGAAAAATGACAATGCCAAAATTCTTTGTCTTCTTTTTTTTTTTTTTTTTTTAAAGATATTTATTTAGATATAGTTAAAGATTTAGTTAGATAAAGAAGTTAGATATTTCTGAGACACACTACCACAAAAAGCCACCAAATGATGTTGCTGCTGAATTTCTTTTGAGGACACTCAGTATTTGTGAAGGGTACATAACATATTAGTATTTGTTACTTTTAGTACTTTTTAAAATTTGTCTGATTAGGAAATTATTGGAAGCATATAAAAATAGGCAAAGAATGGGAAACATATTTATACTTACACAAAATCATAATTATTTTAGCATCATTTTTTAGCAAACATTAAAACAATTGTTTGTTATCAGAAGAGGACAGTCAGTTTACATCTGTATACTATAAGGCACAATTGTAATCCACGTTAAGATGTTTATGAATATTGTATGTTATAGAAATGTAAAATTAAGGCCTACCTCAGTACGCTGGTTCTGTTCGCTTTGGCTATGAAAGAAGCTTTGGAAGAAATAAACGGCAAAGTAAAATACCTCAAACAGTCTATAGTGTGTCGGTAAGATTGAGCTTTTCTTGTTACTTAAAGGTAGCTTACTTCTTGGACATGTCACCAAATCATGTAAAAACAAATATAAACCTACCTTTTATCAAAAGCAGCAAACAGATCTTGCTTGCTAAAATGTGGCTGCTAGTCTAGGCCTACATGTTGTTCCAAAATGACTTACTGAGTGTTTGTTTTGTTTATTTTTTCTACTTCAGAATTTCATGTTTAATTCAACCTGTTATTTGCCGTTTCTTTGAAAATGTTTACTTGCAATTTCTGAGTGAAAACTGATAGATAGATAGATAGATAGATAGATGACTTAAGAGACTCTATTCCATTTTTTTTATTAGACATTAAAGACATAACATGCAACATTTACAACTTTAACAAGACATCCAAAAAGATAACACAATTAAAGGAATGGGTTTACATTACATAGAAAAAAAAATCAATAATACTTAAAGAAAAGAAAAAAAAGACAGCATTCACCCGTTCAAATGTTTCGTTTCGCAATGCTTATAAAACAGCCCCATTAAACTCTATATAAAGATTATGTTATGTGAACTTATATCTTCTCGTTAACTCCAATTGTCATGACAAGTTTTGGATATTGAAGTCGAGTTTACAAGCTTTCACAAAAATACAAGAGACGTAATCCATTTTCTTGGCTACTTGTGAGGTTTTGCGTAGGCTACTAGCCGTCTCCTCCTGCAAGTTATTCTCCAAACAGCAGCAAGCGTGAGCTGATAAGAATCTGGTCACGTGACGCAGCGCTGAGTTCCTACACTCAATCACTCACTCACTCACTGCAACGCTCATCTCACTGATTTGATCTCAGGAACAGTGGGAATAAAAAAATATGTCGATCACAGTGGAAGAGATTAAAAACAAACTTCAGTCTCCAGGGGATGACCTTGTTTTCTTCGTTAATGGAAAAAAGGTAATCGGCTGCTTGAATAATTACATTGTTTAATGTGTTTCACTACTTATCTATTGCCAGTATAGTCAAAATGTGTTTTCCATTATTAATTCCGTGCAGATCACTGAGAAGAATGCAGAGCCTGAGAAAACACTCTTGACATATCTAAGGAGAAACTGTATCCTTTTGATCTTCTGTTCTGCTGAACAGCCTCTGTATTGAATCTGAATGCTGCTTTCTCTAAAAAAAAAAAAAAGTTATAAAATATTAGACCATAACCACAGCATTTATGAGACACTGATATTCCTGTCTTCTGGAGTTGTTGTTGGTTAAACTGAATTGTTTGATGTCTGCTGGGGTTTGGGTCAACTTCGTATTCATGAGGTTTGCTCAGTCAGGCAGTTTATTTCTTAATATTAGATATTAGTATTATATAATTCAATTCAATAATTCAAAAAAGTGGTTTAACTTTGAGATACATTTATGATAACAGTTTATTTGATTTAGTTTAGGAGAACTTAGTTGATTTTTTTTTTTTTTTGCTTTTTGCCTTTCTGTAAACCAAAAAAAGTCATGTTCATGTAACTAGTTTTATAAGTCCAACATTTGACTTGAATTACGGAAAATAAACCATGAACCAACAAATATAAATTTTAGGGGTCAAGGGTGTTACACCAACAAAGTTCATTTTAAAGGGATTGGATAGAAGACTGGATAGAAATAACTCTTTAACATAACAGCTTGCACTTACAGTATGTATTTATAATGGGTTAATCTTTGTTTTTGTCCTCAGTGTTTTAGGACATTAATTATTTACACAACTGCTATGTGATGTCAAACATGTGAGATTTATTGATCCAAACATGTAATTTTTGATTACAGAGAATGTCAGCTATGTATTGACCATGAAATCATACATTGCCATTATTTTGTAGTTTGTCATTATTTTCTACACTGATTTGGGAACACTTACTTTTTCAGTGTGATTGTTTTCAAGCTGTTTTCCTTAGAGTCACTGCTTACAGTGGGTCTGACGGGAACCAAACTGGGATGTGCTGAAGGAGGTTGTGGAGCCTGCACTGTAATGGTGTCCAAATATCATCCATATCAAAACCGGATTATGTATCTTTTTATGCACTCACATCTTGCAATAAAGTGCATTGCTGTCCTTAAAGCATGTAACAGGTTCATGGTAGCTGTTAATAATTCATATCTCATTAGTAAAGGATTCTGAAACATATGCCAGAGTTATATAGCTATGTCCTTGACGGCAAGCTTTAAGTCACTATGCAGTTAATGCCTGTCTGGCTCCTCTATGCTCTTTGCATCACTGTGCAGTAACAACCGTGGAGGGCATCGGCAGCGTGGCGAGCAAACTCCATCCTGTACAGGTCACAGTTTTATCTTATTCTTTCAGAATTGCAGATAATTATGAGAAAAGCATTTCACACTATAACATTAAAGCATAACCTCTTTCGTCCTCCATTCATTACAGTTTTAACGTTAGCTGATATATCACTTGATATACTGGTGTCCTGCTCAATTGAGGTACAGTAGCTCTAACAACAATAATCTTTTTATCCAGGAGCGAATTGCAAAGGCTCATGGGTCACAGTGTGGGTTCTGCACTCCAGGAATTGTGATGTCTATGTATGCTCTTTTGAGAAACAACCCTCAACCCAGTATGCATGATATTCAGGAGGCTTTTCAAGGTATAGTAAGAGTCGTAACTTCTGCATCTTGTTAAATTTGATCCCTTAAGTTAATATATATCTTTTCTGAATAAATCTTTCTGTTTTTAAATTGTTTGCACACAGGTAATTTATGTCGCTGTACTGGGTACAGACCTATTCTAGAAGGCTACAGAACATTTACAAAGGTAAAATAACAACTGAGTAATAATAATAATAATAAACACATTTAATAATATAAAAGTAATGGAATTTTACATTTATTTATTTTTATTAAAAGATCAAATAAAAAACGGTTTAATTAATATTAAACGATAATAGAAGATAGAGGTAACTGGCACAATCTTTCTGAGATCGGACCCAGATGCAGAATGAACAGTGATCGAATTTGACAAAACAGCAGACAAGACACAATAAGTAGGGGAGGCGTGAAACAGTTCAATATCAGCTAAGGCACAGAAATCGAAGACAGGCAAGTTGAGGAACGTTGATACTTGCCCTGGGTGCGTTCAGCTCACAGGCACTGAACCAGTCTGGCTGCCAGGCATAGGGAACCTGCTGGCAGGGAGAACACAACACTCAACACTGAACATGACAAAAACAAGACAACAGTGAGAGACTGCAAGATAAACAACAAGAAAACAAGGAACTAAAACCAAAAAAAGCACACACAGACAGGTTACTAGACTAATCCAGCCAATCACAGTGCAGATGGTATACATGGAAAAATCATGTAATGACTTGTGTGAATTTCTCGCATGCATTTATGTGAAAAAAATGTTTTTTTCATTGAGTGTTGAAACTGCCTCATGACCAAATGTCTTGTGGTTTGTGCACCTTGTCAGTGTTGTATTGTGAACTTGTGCTGAATTGTTTGGATTCAGCCAGATTTACTGAGCAAGTATGACTGATTAGTGATTACAAATACAAGATGAATTTTATCGACGTAGTCTGAGCTGGTATTACAACACACTGATGTAAAATATTCAACAGAATTACCATAGGGAATATATATATATATATATATATATATATATTTTTTTTTTATAATGTCTGCCTCTTTTAATTTCAGGATGGGGGATGCTGTGGTGGAAAAGGACAAAGTAATGGCTGCTGCTTGACTAATGGACACACACAAGAGCATGTCAATGTGAGTAGAACAGACATCCAGACACCATGCTCTATTTTCTCTGAGTACAAACACGTTCTTGTCCTAAAGCCTTGCCATTTATGATAAACCTGTAGTAGCATACTTGGATAGGAAATCAATGACATGGCAGCCATTGCTGTCTCATAGGAAACCAGTCACATGTGTGAACTGGCACTAATGAGCATGTGAGGTCAAACCTACAGCCATGAAACAAACAGTAGATGCTTCAAGATCACTGTTTTACAATCTCAGTTCTGAATGTTATCTAAGGACTTTACAAATAATTCCGACATTTCTTTCTCTATTTTTAGGACAATTCAACACTTTCAGCTCAGAAATTGTATGACCAATCAGAGTTTATGCCACTGGACCCGACACAAGAGATTATTTTCCCGCCTGAGCTCATGGTGCGAATAAAATTAGTCTTATCTGCATTGATTGACCATGGTAGTAAAATGAGGAGATTACTGCATTAAATAGATGCATCAACACTGTAAGTTATGTTTGTGCTGTACAGAGTTTAAGTAAACAGCCCCAGAGAGAGCTGAGGTTTGCTGGGGAACGGGCGCTTTGGATTCAACCCTGCTCCCTTGAAGAACTCTTGGAACTGAAGGCGACTTATCCAAACGCTAAACTAGTGGTTGGGAACACAGAAGTTGGTGAGTCCCGCATACATTGATAGAATCACTCCGCTACTTTGTTTTTGGCCATTCTAGACAAGGACTGCATCTGAAATGTCATACTCTCTGAGTAGGTACTTCATTTGTCTAGTTTGCAACCAGTAAAGGTAGGGTAGGCAATTTCAGAAAGGCTAGCAATAGCATGCTAGCTTTGAAAGCATAAGATCCCACCCTCCCTGCAAATCACTCTCCAAAGCCACACCTCCTCCAAAGCACATGAATGTGCACAGGCAGACCAGAAGTTAACCAGCAATAAAATGAGTGACACTTTGATGGAGGGTTGAATGCAACGCTGTCAGAGTACCTCATGTTTTATTCACTGGTGAGAAAACATTACATAATAACGTTTTCCATTCTCGCTCAGTCTGCAATAGCGTAACGGAACGTGCTGATGATGTATCATGTCTGTGCGAATGGTGTGCGGAGGTATGTAAATACATACATTGATAGGCAGGTAGGACAGCCTATCCTAGCCTTCAAACTGAGGAATACGATTGTACGAACACTTAATGGTCCTACACCTTCCACAGATGATATAAATACATTTAGATCACTTAACTTAGATGTGAAGAGGCTTTCAACCAGCATAACAAAAAAAATATTTTTGAACCAAATCACCTACCTGCCTTTAAAAAAGTATGTTCTGTATAGTATCTTTGTAATCTGGATGACACATAATTTCATTGTACTTTTTGTATAATGACAATAAAGATTCTGATTCTGGATGTATTACATTTGTCCTTTAATAGCGAATCATTGAATCATTCATCAACCGTTTCATTCAAAATGCTATTCATTCAGGGAAAAAAAACAAGTAATTGAATCATTCACTCAGCCGATTTGTCTGTAAACATTAATTCAATCAGAAAGTAACTGTGTTGCTCAGAGACATGAAACAGTAGAAAAATTTTTGCTGATGAGGAAGAAATAGACAAAGGCAATCCATGGCTGCGTTTTAGACACGCTCTCGCGAACCTCCCTAAAGCCTGGCTCACACTACAGGATTTTTAGCCCGATTTAGCCCCAATTTTACCCACCCCAAACAACTCTATAATATATAAAAAAAATGTATAACAGCACAAGCATACATATTTACATATAGAATGCTGCACCAAATAAATTTGTGCGGGGAAAAATGTAAACAATAAACCAACTCCATAGCAGATTCTAGGGCTTAGGACGTTCCGATTCAGCCCATTGCAAGGGTTCCGCCAGTAGTGGACACTCATGCAACATAATCAGTGACGTACATCCGAGTAAACGAGATGGAGGGAAGTTTGGCGTGATGGGCATTAAAAAAAAGAACTGAAACGCAGCCATTGTGTCTAAAATGTAAGTATGTTTACATATTATGAGTGAAAAAGCATGTTATTTCTTTGTGCAGTACTCAAAGACCATAATGCAGAATGCACAGCTGATTTTAATTGCCTTGAATCTCTCTTCTAGGTATTGAGATGAAGTTCAAAAACCTTCTTTACCCTGTGATTCTGGCCCCAGCTTACATCCCTGAGCTGAACATCATCCAAAACACACAGGATGGTAAGAGAGTCCTACACCTAAAGGGATGCTGTCAGTGTATGTTGTTTGATGGTTTAAAGCAAATATTATTTGTCAATACATTAAAATATTATAGAGTTAGAACTGTATGTTCATTCCTTTATCTGGTCTTCAATCTAGTCTTTTAGTGGCATTTCACTACTTAGGTTAACTTATAGTTGACAGTTAATCTTGGCTTGTTTTTGGTTCACAGGCATTCAGGTTGGTGCATCCGTGACGTTGACTGTGCTGGGGGACGTGCTGCGTGCAGCGGTGAAGAAGCTGCCCGCTCATCAGACGGAGGTCTTTAAGGCTGTTCTTGAGCAGCTGCGTTGGTTTGCAGGACAGCAGATCCGAAATGTTGCGGTATGTCATGTCCCTGAAGACAAAAAGTGATATAAAGTGTTTTATGTAAGTTAATGGACTTGAAAATTACTGTCAAAAGTTAATTTAATGGCTGTTTTGATAAAAGTCACATTTTCAGTTCCTTTCCGTGACTATCATATTTATGCTTTCAGGCTATTGGTGGCAATATTATGACAGCGAGTCCCATTTCAGACCTCAACCCTGTGTTTATGGCAGCCAGCTGCAAGCTAACAGTGATGTCCAAAGGTACAACTTTTTTTTTTTTCATGTTCAAGGATCAAAGGTTGTAGCATTTCATGATCTGATACAGAATACAGTGGCAGAGGCAATGTAGAGAAAACAGGCAATCTCCAATGATATCCTATTCCATTAGTGTGCAGTCATTTTACATATAGTTCTGCTGGCGTCTGAATATTACGTAATAGCTTGAAGTCTAAATTAGAGATACTTTTTAATAATTGTATAGTTTCTCAGTGTTTTACAGCTGATTGGAAGATTGTGGTATATAGTACAGGGGTTAAAGGATACTGAAAGCTATGGTAAACAGGACTTTTGCAGTACAATGTATCAGTCTAGAAACATATACTGTAGGGTGTTGACCCTATATGTTTTATTGACACTGTGTCCATGTTCTTTGTTCTGCAGTTTTTATGCCAGCAGAGAACAGTTGATTAATGAATTAAACTGTCAATGTATGTTTTAGAAATTATTTAAAAAATCTCTGTGATGTCTGATGTTTAAAGGGGAGAAACGTGTTCTTGAAATGGATGGCAAGTTCTTCCCTGGTTATAGAAAGACCATTTTGAAGCCAGAAGAGATTCTGTTGTCCATTGAGATTCCATACACAAGAAAGGTCTGCATTCAAAACATTCTGCGATTAAAAATACTCTGAAATGATCATTTTTTCATAATGTACTTACTATATGTCATTCTAAGTCTCATTAGACTTTCTTTCTTTCTTTGGAATACAAAAGAGATGTTGAAGAATCTACTGGTTACTATTTTCCATATAATGAAAGGGAAAGGGCATTAAGACTGTTGAGGTCTAACACCATAATATTAGCAAAAAAGTGGCCCAAAAGACATGTATGTTATATTCCAAGTCGCTTGGAGCCATACGATACCTGGCTTCTTCTACGTGTTCAAACTTGTTGCATTACAAGAAAGTCAGTTGGGTTTGGGACAATATGAAGCAGAGTAATGATGACAGAATTTGCATTTTTGGGTGAACTACTTTTTTTTTATTTATTTTTTTAGTTTTAGGTCCGTAAGATTTTTTTTAAATAAATACTTCTATTCATCAAAGATACATTAACTGCATTACAAGAAAGTCAGTTGGGTTTGGGACAATATGAAGCAGAGTAATGATGACAGAATTTTTGGGTGAACTACTTTTTTTTAATTTATTTTTTTAGTTTTAGGTCCGTAAGATTTTTTTTAAATAAATACTTCTATTCATCAAAGATACATTAAATTGATCGAATGTTACAGTGAAGAGTTTTTCATTAGAGAATCCTGAAAACAAATTGTCATGGTTTCCAGAAAAATATTAAGCAGCTCAACTGTTTTCAACATTGATAATAATAAGAAATGTTTCTTGAGCAGCAAATCAGCATGATTTCTGAAGGATCATGTGTCACTGAAGACTGGAGTGATGACAGTTGAAAATTCAGCTTTGCCATTACTGGGATAAATTAGAGTTTCAAATATATTAAAATAGAAAACAGTTATTTTAAATTGGAATAATATTTCATAATATTAGTGTTTTACTGTATTTTTGATTTTTTTTAAATTTAGCCTTAGTAAGCATAGAAGACCTCTTTCAAAAACATAAAAAAATCTTACCAACCAAAACTTTTAATGGTGTTGTATCTCATTCATATTCACATGAAATAGATTAAATTTGGAGTCACTCTGTGAATTTGTGTTTTAGGGCCAGTACTTCTCAGCTTTCAAACAGTCTCCTCGCAAAGAGGATGACATTGCCATTGTCACATGTGGGATGAATGTATTCTTCAAGGAGCAATCCAATATAGTGCAGAGTATCCGGATAAGCTATGGAGGAATGGCCCCTGTTACTGTCCTTGCCACGGCCACATGCAACAGGTTACTCAACAGGTAGAGGACGCTGTCTGGGAGGTTTTCTAGCAAATTTCTGATATTCTTTTCTGACATTCAGCCTCATTCAAGAATCATTGCATCAGTTTCACACAATCTTTATTTGATTGAAGGCAATGGAATGAGGAGCTCCTAGAGGAAGCCTGCACGTCATTGGTGGAGGAGATGAGCTTGTCTCCTTCAGCTCCTGGTGGGATGGTGACATACAGACGCACACTGACCATCAGCCTCTTCTACAAGTTCTTCCTCAATGTCCAGCACAAACTGTCTCTGGACCTGCAGAAGGAGGTTGTTTTTCACACTTACACAATCAAGAGTTTGAAAAATTCTGCTTGGCTCCAAAATATTTATCGGTAATTTAAATGATTTAAATTAAATAATACATTCGAATGGCTAGTAAGATATGGCTTTTTTTTTGTTGCAATTTGCAGATGTGCTCAAAAGTTATTTTTGGACACTGATTCTACTCTTTATTACTTTCTAACAGTCCAAGACTATATGTTCTTGGTCACATTAGGGTTAATTGTAAACTGTGTAAACTCTATAGGGTGTGACTGTGGAAGACGTCCGACCCGAATATGCTACTGCTACTGAGCTCTTCCAGTTGGACTCACCGTCCAGTGTACAGCTGTACCAGGTACAAATATATCAGCATTTAGCAGCTTCATCTGTGCATTATGTGTTGGCTGATAAATCCAAAGTTCTGTCATGAAACTCTACATGGCGCAGTCCGATAGGTGTAACTCAATCAGACATAATGACATCAATATCACATTGCACAGCTAATTGGTCCTTTGTTGTATCAGCAGCCAATGAGCTTGCTGCTCAACATTCAGATACTTGGCTAGTGCTTGCTGTAGCAGTTGAAGCGTGCTTCAGAAACCCTCCACCTTCCCCATCTCCACCTGTATAGATCTGCGACAGGGTGATTCTTGTATGCTATATATGTTTTTTTTTTCATATGTGCAGCAGAAGTATTTCTTACTGGCTCACAGCAGCATGATGTGGATGTATTGGCAGTAGCAAATCTCGGTACTTGCTCTGCCGCAGCAGCAGCGTAGCAGATCTATTCCACCAAGACCAAAACATTAACATTGTCATGTACATTACCATGCCGATCCCTCCGAGAGTTGTCATGATAGAACTTTATTTCTTTGTTTGCAGGCAGTTCCCCCTGGTCATAATAGTGATGATGTGGTGGGGCAACCGATCATGCATCTCTCTGCGCTTAAGCAGGCCACAGGAGAAGCGATCTACTGTGACGACATCCCCTGTTATGAAAATGAGCTCCATTTGGCTTTGGTCACCAGTACTAAAGCTCACGCACTCATAAAGTTAGTTGAAAATAAAACACGTCATGTTTTGGAATGATTTAGTGTTGAGTTAAAGCCAAGTATATGACTTGTCATGTGCACATTGATGTTGTTAAAGTGAACCTACATTCATTGTCTTTATGACGTGCCATAAAAAAGTTCAGTTCTGAACTATAGTGATCTGAGACAATGATTACCCATGATTAGGTGTTAACTATGTGTGCATGTGTTTCTCTTTGTAGATCCATTGATACCTCCGATGCAATGGCAGTTCCTGGAGTGGTTGCATTTATCTCTGCTAAAGACATACCAGGAAGTAACATGACAGGACCTGTTGTTTATGATGAGACCGTTTTTGCAGATGATAAGGTGAATTTTCTGTGCAGTATTTCTAATGAGAGACATTATTACACAGACAGCTATTCAATTGTTTTGGCTTTTATAGGCTATAGAAGTCAGTTGTTAGTTATGATGCATATTGGCTCAGGCATAAGGTGACCATAACACAATGGCTTTTACATTTCTTTCACAAAACAGAGAGTATACTTTGGAAGTCGTAGTAAATGACGTCATGCATTTGTGACAGATGTTTATGGATTCCCATGCAAAATGTATCTCACATGCATCTCACTTGATTGCAGAGTAGGCTACTCTATGATCAGGCGTTTTTCAACGGCATAATCATTTATTGATGCAGTTACACTTTGATATGCGCTTTCTTGGTTGAGCATCTTGGACTTGGCAAAGTTAAAAAATAATCTTAATCTACCCTATAAAATGTCACACATTTGAAGCAAAGCCCTTTATTGCTGTTTCTTATGGAAGCCTGTTTCCATCTCAGAGTGAAAAAGTAAAGTTAATTGCAAGAAAGTAAGAGAAATTAAGTCACTTTGTTATAGATATGGCACATTGCGAGATACTAAGTCTAATTTATGAGAAATTAGGTCACAGTTACGAAGAAATACATGTAAATTGGGATATATTTTACAATTACCTTTTTCCTTCTGAGTTGGAAATGAGCTTCCATACATGTTTGAATCACTTTTATTTAAATTGATTTAAATCTTTCATATGTCTTTGATATGTGTCATTGACAGTGTTATAAACTGCTGTTCAAAAGTTTGGGATCAGTAAGATTTTTATTTTTTGCTTTAAGAAGTGAATTCTTTTATTCAGCAAGGATGCAATAAATTAATCGAAAGTGACAGTACAGACTTTATTTTTGAATAAAAGACTTATTTTAAAGTAAAATGCTTATTTTTATTACGTTAAATTCTGTTCTTTTAAACTCTTTATTTATCAAAGAATCATGAAATACTTTTTACTCTATTTACTTTATTAAATTAAAGCAGTTGTGATGAGGAAAATCATTCAAAAATGTTACTAACCCCAAACTTTTGATTGGGATCATTATGATTGGAATGCGTGATGTGTCTCACATGCATATAATGTGTCGCTTTTGTTTACTCATGTAGAGTCCTAACACTGATCTTTCATGCTAGGTCACATGTGTTGGACATATAGTGGGGGCATTTGTGGCAGACACACAGGCCCATGCTCAGAGAGCAGCCAAAGCTGTGAAGATTAGCTATGAGGAACTGCAGCCTGTGATTGTCACCATTCAGGTCTGTATCTACTTCACATTCACATTTACTCTCACCATAGCAAATAGAACCATCTAGCTATGGAACAATGGTTTTGTCGTGTGTGGTGGATAGAACCCAAATGCAACACAGCCACCAAGTTCTCATATTTACAAAAAATTTGAAAAGTAGCACAAAAATGGGTGCATCTGATCTGACCTGACTTCCGCCCACAGAGCTGGAAAACAAAAGACCTAGACAGGAGACAGAAGGGCACATAGCACACAGAAACAAACATGCTCACACCAAAAACAATGACATGACAGAAGAGCACATGGCAAATGAACATCAACACAAACTACTTGCTCTAACAGGAAACAAGACACGAGACAGACAAAAGTGCCTGGATGTCAGGATCCAGACACCAAAACCAAACCAAAGGATTTTACAGTTCACATAAATTTGTGTATTGAAAATTATACACAAAAGGCCTGTAAAAAAATCAAACAGTGTAATCCTCATAGGACTGAAAATATGACCTACAACCAATTTTTGGTTTCAAAACCACCGAAGCACACAATATTATCGCAAAACATTTGGTGCTGTGCTCTGACCTTTCACCCCTGCACAGTGGTTTCCCTGCTGTCATCATTACATAACAGGATTTTTCAAGGTTTTCAGGGAAACAGCTTGTTCAAAATACACATAACACATAGAGATAAGCTTGACTGGTTTGCTAACATGTTTACGTTCACTCTTTCAAACAGGATGCTATTGCCAACAAGTCCTTCTTTCAGCCGGTGAGAAGTATAGAGAGAGGAGATGTTGCACAAGGATTCAAAGACTCTGATCACATCCTGCATGGTATAACCTTGTTTTTATTTAAAAGGATAGTGACACTGCATTAAGCCTCTTTGTGAAGAATGAAAGTTATCTAATAAAGATTCACATTATTTAAAACCATGTGTTTTATGAAACCGACAGTCTGTACTCTGCACAAATTCTGTGGTAGATCTGCAGTTTTCTTCCTTGCCATTTATATAAAACGATTCTTGTTCAGACCTGTTCCTCTTTCATTTCATGAGCTGACACTAAATATGTGATTCTGCAGGTGAGATGCACATTGGAGGGCAGGAACAGTTTTATCTGGAGACTAACTGCACACTTGCTTTCCCTCGTGGAGAGGATGGAGAAATGGAGCTGTTTGTGTCCACACAGTCGGCCTCCAAGACTCAAGTAAACAAAAGAAATCACTCTCTGTAGGGGACTGGTGAAAGATATTGATTTATATCCACATTCTCAATCAAAACAGAGTTTAAACTGCACAAGACATATAAGAATGGTGATGATAGCTTGACAAAATATGATTAATTATTTATTTTATTTTTTTCTTCCAATATTTAATTTTAAAATAATATTTGATTAATATACATTCTATTTAAAAATAATATAAGTAGAAAATAAATAATTTAATAAATTAAATAAGCATCATGTTAGAAGGTTTTACATGCCCAAATCAAATAGAAAAACCCTTAGTCAGTCAGACAGACAGATAGACAGACAAACAGCAGATGCTATGATTCCTCTCATTTAAAATGGTTAATTAATTAGTAACCAAAAATACGATAGGATTATTAATGATGTGATATATAGGTGATTGTACTGTCCTAATGCAAATCATGTGCTGTGTTTACCTCAGGCCCTAGTGGCTAAAGCTCTGGGAGTGCCTGCCAACCGGGTGGTGTGCCGTGTAAAGAGGATGGGAGGAGGATTTGGAGGGAAAGAGAGTCGGAGCACCATTCTGTCCACTGTGGTTGCTGTTGCCGCACATACGTATGACTATAACACAAACTAATGTAACCGTGTTAATGTGCCTATTTACATAAAGTGATGTTGTAAGTAGCAACGTGAAGGCTAAACGTTTAGTTTGGCCTTTCTCTTTTAGGGTCAAGCGGCCAGTTCGCTGCATGCTAGATCGCGATGAGGACATGCTGGTCACAGGTGGTCGGCATCCATTCTTTGGACATTACAAGGTGAAAAATTTTGCAAATTAGCCAGATATTGTCCTTTAGGTTTGGCTGGGATTTCTAAATTGCCTAAAATGTCAAGGTTTGGGCTTTGGTTTTTTATTGACATGCTCTTTACAGTCCTCATGCATTATATGTACACATATGTGCATTGCTTTGACCGTTCTCTGTCGATCCTACCTTCTAGCACACCACGATTGGTCGATTAAGTATAATGTCTGTACACTATTGGTCAAACTACTTTCAGCAAGTATAAAAAAACAATAAGAAAACAAAACCAAAACCCAGTTATTTTAGGCCATTTAGAAATCCCCGCAAGGACATGTGGTCACACACTATTGTCCTCGTCCTTGCTAGACTAGTCTCATACACTATCGCTCTGTAATCTGATGTCTAGGTTGGGTACATGAACAATGGAAAAGTGATGGCACTTGAAGTGATGCTCTACAGCAACGCAGGCAATTCACTGGACCTGTCATTGTCAGTGAGTAGGCATCTCAAAAGTTTTGAACATCTATGAACTTGAACACCACACCCCCTGGTGGTCAATAACACACATTGTAAGATATTCTTTCTTATATTCGAGGCCTAAATGTGTATCCTGTTTATCAATGCACAGATCCTGGAGAGGGCACTATTCCACATGGATAACTCCTACAACATTCCTAACATCCGTGGCACAGGCTACATGTGTAAAACCAACTTGCCGTCTAACTCAGCGTTCAGAGGCTTTGGTGGGCCGCAGGGCATGATGATCGCAGAGAGCTGGATGAGTGATGTGGCTTTGAGCTGTGGTCTGCCTGCTGAAGAGGTTCATACTGCAACTTTCTCTCTCTCACAGTCCATAGTACACAAACATTAACGTCACATGTAACAGAACTCTCTACTACTTCCAGGTGAGGAGGATGAACATGTACAAGGAGGGGGATTTCACACCCTTCAATCAACGTCTGGACAAGTTCACCATCGATCGCTGTTGGGAGGAGTGCATGCAGCTCTCAGACTTCAACAAGCGCAAGGATGCAGTGGAACAATACAACAGGTTAGAAATAATCATAAATATTGAGCTCATCAACACAACCAAAAGCTTGTGCAGTTTAAAGAGGCGTATAGTAAGAAAACATGTTTTCGTTGATATTTTGAGTGTATTGATGTAAATTATATTAACTTTTAAAACCTTTACTGACATTATAAGATAAGAAAAATAATAACAAAATGTAAATAAATAGTAAATAATAATAAATAATCAATAATATATCTCTTTCTCTCCTTCAGTTGCTCTTTTAAAAACAAATTCAATTAATTGTATTGTTTTATTTTAATATTTTATACTAATATCATACACTGTACACTTTTCAGTGTCACTAGAGCAGCGTCAGTATTGTTATTGTTAATTAAATCAAAAACTTTTAAAAATCCTTTATTTTAATTGGAATAAAGCAAAAAAAAAAGATGATACACTTAAAAAAAGTCTTAAAGGACAAAATAAGAATGTTGCATTGGCAATTAACTGAAAAACATAAATTCAGGTTAAAGTATCAAAATTACTTAAACTAAAGCTGAAATAGAAACAGAAATATATATACATAAAAAAAAAATAATAATAAATAAAAATTACAAAAGCACATAACAAACTTACTAAAACTTAATCTAAAATTAAAATAATATATTAAAAAATACTACAATATTATATACATATAAATATATAACCTATACAATGTATAATAATACTAGGCAGCATAAATTCTATAAGTCAGAGCCAGAGAGCCAGCACTTCATTGTTAGATTTTATTTGTATATTGCTATAAAAATGTTCTCAGTTTAGGTACTGCATAGCTTCTTGGGTAAGGATTGCTGTAATACTTTAATTCCAGGCAGCATCGTTGGACCAAAAGAGGATTATCCATCATTCCCACCAAGTTTGGAATCAGCTTCACTGCTGTCTTCCTCAACCAGGTCAGCCCTTTTCCTCTCAGGCTCTAAATAATTATAAATATTATAATAAAATAAATAAAGAGGCGATTATGTGTATGATGGTTATTTTTGATTCAGGCAGGAGCATTGGTACTTGTGTACTCAGATGGTTCGGTTTTACTAACTCATGGTGGAACAGAGATGGGACAAGGCCTGCACACTAAAATGGTCCAGGTAATGCAAACAAGGCACAACAAAAATACTATATTAAATTGTTTGTCACAACTGTTCGTATTAATTTTTGTGTTGTGCAGGTGGCCAGTAAAACTCTTGGAATCCCCTGCTCAAAGATTCACATCACAGAGACCAGCACTAACACAGTTCCCAACACCAGCCCTACGGCCGCCTCCGCCTCCTCAGATCTTAACGGCATGGCCATCTATGTAAGCCTCATGCAGCAGCTATTCATATTTATGACACTTTTTTATGTACACTACCGTTCAAAAGTTTTGGGTCAGGAAGTTTTTTTCCCCTCACATTTAATTGATCAAAAGTGACAGTAAAGCCTTTTACTATGCTAGAAAAAAAATCTTTTTGAAATGAATGCTGTTCTTTTGAACTTTCTAGCCATCAAAAAATCCTGAAAAAACTATTGTCAACATTTATAATAATTTAATAACTATTTAATATCAACAAATCAGCATATCCAAATGATTTCTGAATGATCATGTCACACCGAAGACTGGAGTAATAGCTGCTGAAAATTCAGCTTTGCCATCACAGGAATAAATAATATTTTAAAATATATTAAAATCAGTTATTTAACATTATTACTGTACTTTTTGGCCAAATAAATGCAGCCTTGGCGAGCAAAAGAAACTTCTTTCAAAAACATTAAAACATTTTGATCGACCCCAAAGTTCTGAACAGTACTTTATGTCAGCCATCGAACTAATCCACAATATTTCAAATCAATATTTGTCAACAAATATTGACATACAACATACAACACAACATTTACATACAACACCCTGATTTTTTCCACAGAACGCTTGCCAGACATTACTACAGAGACTTCAGCCTTACAAAGACAAAAACCTCAAAGGCTGCTGGGAGGATTGGGTCAGTATCAGTTTTTGTATGCAATTATTCATCGAATGTTTCATATTTTATATATTACATTGTATTCACATTTGCAGGTGAAAGCAGCATATTTCGACAGAGTTAATTTGTCTGCCAATGGATTTTACAAGTATGTTAATTTCAGAATGGTTTCTTCAGCTATAATTGAATCATTTCTAATCGTGTTGGTCCTCATAGAATTTAGGAATTATTATTCATTTGATTATATTTTATAGGACTCCAGATCTTGGCTATGATTTTGAAACAAATTCAGGAAAGCCATTTAACTACTTCAGTTATGGCGTGGCCGTCTCAGAGGTGGAGATAGACTGTCTAACTGGCAGTCATAAGGTAATGCCAGTGTGAAACGTGTATTTGTTATGTTCAAACTGGACAACTGGTCTGCATAATAGATTATATATTTGAGATCCATACTTCAAAGTTAACTATCTCTCCTGTCAGAATCTTCATACATCCATAGTCATGGATGTGGGCAAGAGTTTAAATCCAGCATTGGACATTGGACAGGTATTTCATCTAAATTTAATCAAACGGATCACACCATTGTCAATTCCTCTTAAAGGGTTAGTTCACCAAAAAATGAAAATTAGGCTGCGTTTTACTCACCCCCGGGGCATCCTAGGTGTATATGACTTTCTTCTTTCAGATGAATCCAGTCGGAGTTATATAAAAAATTGTCTTTGATCTTTCAAGCTGTTTAATGCCACTCAGTGGGTGTTGCATTGCTTTGGTCTAAAAGAACTTAAATAAAAATCGCCCATCCATAAAAAAAAGTGTCTCACACGGCTCCGGGGGGTGAACAAAGAAAGGCCTTCTGTAGCGAATCGATGCGTTTTTGTAAGAAAAACATCCATATTCAAAACGTAATAATCACTTTAATGTAGCTTGCACCAACAGTTGTACACAGAAGCAGTTCCGGGCTGATGAGCTATGAGTTCAGCACTGCGCATGCGCCGGTGAGTCTCGTGAACACCAACGTTTGTTTACAGGAGCAAAGGAAGCAAAGTTTCCTTACTTTAGCAAAGGAAAACCAGTCTCCTCTTGGCTTATATCAAAATCCTCTGACATGCTTATTTACAAATCCTCGTTTTGTACTTCTAATTCTTGACCGTTGTTTTGTTTTGATCTCTCCGCTGCGTTTCCGTGTGCGTCATTTCTGAGCGGCACATGAGCAACGCCGACCTCATACGTCATTCCCCCGGAACTGCTTCTGTTTACAACAGTGAGCGCAAGCTAGATTCCAGTGATTATTACGTTTTGAATATGGATATTTTTCTTACAAAAACACATCGATTTGCTACAGAAGGCCTTTGTTTACCCCCCGGAGCCGTGTGAGACACTTTTTTTTATGGATGGGCGATTTTTAAGTAAGTTCTTTTGGACTGAAGCAATGCAACACCCGCTGAGTGGCATTAAACAGCTTGAAAGATCAAAGACAATTTTTTATATAACTCCGACTGGATTCGTCTGAAAGAAGAAAGTCATATACACCTAGGATGCCTCGGGGGTGAGTAAAACGCAGCCTAATTTTCATTTTTGGGTGAACTAACCCTTTAAATATAATCTGTATAATTTGTGGCTGTGTGTGCAGGTGGAGGGTGGGTTCATGCAAGGTTTAGGTCTGTTCACGCTGGAGGAACTACGCTACTCTCCTGATGGTTACCTGTATACTCGTGGACCTGGGATGTATAAGATTCCCGCTTTCGGGGATATTCCCATTGAATTAAAGATCTCGCTGCTCAGAGACACTCCTAATGAGAAGGCCATCTTCTCCTCAAAGGTTAGATGAACCTCAACAACTAACTCCCCTGTAAGATCATAGTTTGAGTCTGTTAACTCTTATGGCTCTGTTTTTACTCAGGCTGTGGGTGAGCCTCCTCTCTTTCTGGCAGCCTCAGTGTTTTATGCCATTAAAGATGCCATCACAGCTGCCAGGGCTGAGTCCAATCTGACTGGACCCTTCAGACTGGACAGCCCCGCCACGCCTGAACGGATACGAAATGCCTGTGAAGACAAGTTTACTAAACTGGTATGTAGTAACTTTCACTGTTGACTGTTGGCTTCATATAATGCATAATTGCACATCGGCATCAAATCTGAACCATGGTCATTTCAGGTTCAGATTTGATGTGAATGTGTCGTTATACACATTTAAATCAAGTCAGACTTTACCATTTGAACGTTTGGACTCGATTTTTTGGACCATTTTTTTCATCAAGGATGAATGAAATTGAAGATAGTTTATTTTAAGTTGTAAGAATATTTCACAAGATTACTGTTTTTATAGTTTCTGATCAAATAAATGCAGCCTTGGTGAGCATAAGAGACTTCTGTCAAAAACTGACTTCAAATTTTTGAATGGTAGCGTACATACAACTTCAGAATCAAATATGGCATTCATGGAGCTGCTTGATGTGGTTTTATTGTTTGATATCATATCAGCTGCTTTTGACAGGGCCTACTGAAGTTTGTTGACCATTGTATGTTTGCGTTTATTTTAGTGTCCTCCTGCGGATCCTGGCACTTTTATTCCATGGGCAGTGCAGGTGTAAGACACAGCAAAGCCCATTTAAAGTCAGATTGATGAATCATTTAATGAATCAAAATGGACTGTTTACTTTCCTAATGCACATGCCTGGTCTTGTGTATGATTTATCTGTGCATGTTATTCCAAAGGAAAAATAATGTATGTTGTTGTAATCTTTAAGCAAAATTCTGCTGGTCAGCACAGGCTATTGGATAATGTTAGCTAAAAGCCATATATATATTAATTACACATTTGACCCACAAGCCACTTAATTCTTGATGGGTAAAATCAAGACCTGCCCCACATTTTGTTAGACATCCTGTTTCACTCGGAAATATGTTTATGAAAGTAAAATGGGTTGCAGGTGGAAATTCACATTGACTTTAAAAGTCACAACAGCAAAGGCATTGAGAGAAGAATATTAATTACCAAAGAAATAGAAATTCTTAGAATTTTGTTGTGAGCAGATTATACTGTGAAAACAAAAGCACTTGTGCTTTTATGACCTCTATGTGCTCTTAGTGAAACGTACATTATATATGTGACCCTGGACCACAAAACCAGTCAAAAGGGTACATTTTTCAAAATTTAGATTTATACATCGTCCTGGATAAATAAGCTTTACATTGATATATGGTTTGTTAGGATAGGACAATATTTCGACTGTTGGCAAAATCACTGGACAAAAGCTTGAAACTGCCATAAAATGGCCAAATCCATCTTGTGTCTTCTCGTAAATAACATGCCAGACTGGAAACCCTTGTTTCTGTCAAGATTCTGGGCTTTCCAGTTTTTCACGAGGTTTGCTGGACTTGTTTAACATACTATGGGTGTATCATTATTCTCTTTGTAATCAGCTGAGATTTACTTTAATCTGAACAGTTTAGTGAAATTGCATTGAAATAATTGTGAGAATTGTTTTTTTTTTTTGAAGAACAATAAAAATAGTTTAGTTAAACATTACCATTAAAGATTAAAAGATAAAAAAACGAGAGTTGTTATGTTTTATGTGAAATACGCGAAAATATATCATATATGTCATATTTCATATATATCATATTTCATATGAAAATACGAAAAAAAGTTAACAGGAATCCCAGCAATTAATATAAACTGCGTGACCAGAAGACTGTAACAGTTCCTCAAGTATCTGATCATTCTTTCCATATCTCAAAATTGCTTTGAAGGGAAAGTGGTTCAGTTTACTAGCTGCAATACGACTTGTTGAGTCAGGTCAGTTTGCGCATTCTGCTCACAGCTAATGTTCATGTCAAAGTGACATTTTAGCGTTAAACCAAATGCAAGACTCGTCGGAGAACATATCGGGTTTGACCTGCGCAGTAACAGACGTAACTAAAAACCGAATGCTGTTTAAATGAGCTGAAAAGAAGACAAATATCCGGGATTTCCGGTGGGAATACACGGAAGAGAGGTGTTCTGTGCGCTACGTGGCCACCTGCGACAGCAGCAGCAGCAGCAGCTTGTATCGACAGTTTGACAGGATGGAGTTTGACGGAGCAGAACATGACAGCGACAAGATCGAGAAAACCAGCGAGAACGGCATTAACACCGAAACTCACGCCTCCGGCACTGAGGAAGACTGTAAATCATGCGAGGATCATGAAGGACCTCGGAAATCATGGAGTTTGGAGAGAAACTGGGGATTTACTTTAGATGAGCTCTTCAAACTTGCACTGAAATTCTTTAAAGGTAACTTGAACGGATTACCAAATAACCCAGACTTTCCCTTTCCCTTTTCTGTTTGTCTGGTAAATGTTTACAACTTTATTTATTTTGTCCCGTCACAAAACAAAATTAAAGTCCCCCTTTTTTTTTTTTCTGTGAGGCATTGTCTGGATCAGGGGTTCCCAAACTTTTCCATTCCACGACCCACCTAGACAACCTATTTCACGACCCACCCAAATATTTGAGGTCAAAAAACAATTGACATTAGCCTACTTTAAGCTTAAGCTTAATTAAAAGTATAATATGGCAGAACTTAATTATTTAAGAAAAATAACCATTTTATTTGATAGTACAACTGAAAAATTTCACTACTAATATTTACGTTTTAATTTCTGTTTACAGGTGTTAAAATATGAAACATGTCTATAAAAACTCGAAACGCGCTCACTCCGGTGAACTGTAATCCGCTGTGAGTGTTGTTAAACTCATCGCGAGCTTCAGCGCAGAAAATGCATTCATGCTCCTTCCGTGTGAGTGTGTGTGTGTGTGTGTGTGTGTGTAGGGGAGAGCGAATAATAAATAGGGGACGGGGAGAAATAATAAACAGATGTGTCTCATTTTAAATAAACACTAAAAACTGAGTTGACAAATTTACTTCAGTCAGAAATGTACTTTTGCAATGGATAAATAAATGGTCAGCGATATCTTCAAAATATTTTTGAACTTTGGCACATTTTTCTCTATATAGAGATGACATGGCAAGGAAATAAAACAGAATTTTGTAAATATTGTTATGCTAGCGTGTGGAAATGTAAACACGCAATGCACGTTTTAAATCGCGCTAAGAATATTGCAATTCGTAATTAATGTTGGAATATCGTGCAGCCCTAGACTGAACTGTGTGAGTGTGTGTGTGTCATTGAAACTCAAATTTAGCTGCAGGCAAGTGACTTTGTGCGACCCACCTTGTCCCACTCTGTGACCCACAGTTTGAAAACCCCTGGTCTGGATGGTCTAGAATCTAGATACACTGTAGTAATAACTCCACCCATTCAGGAACTGAAATGCCATTCATAATAATCATTATTCAGGTTCTCCTAGATGTTGTACACCATGGTTAATGTAAATTTAGTCATTGTCTCACACAGAGATGAATGGGAAGGCGTTCAACCCAACATATGAAGAAAATCTCCGTTTGGTTGCACTACATAAGCAGATCACAATTGGTCCTTATGATCCAAACGCATGTCCAGAAATTGGGTTCTTTGATGTACTGGGAAACGACAGAAGGTAATGGAGGAATAAGCATATAAAACGCTAAATTTTTTGTGCAAATTATGACTGTGTAAGACCATTAGAGTATTTTAAATTCCATATAATATGGTAGCTTGATATTAATGCACTTACCAAATATTGATGCACATATAATGGACTATATATTACCATATATTACTGCACATACTACCAAATTATATTCTCTGTACCATGGTACCGCCACAGCATGTTTTGTAAGGATGTGTAAAATCATATTATGTATGTGCAGTACAAAGTGGGTTTTGCTCTTCTTTATTCTTTTAAAGCCATATAGCACAATCCTAAAATGTCTATAGATGCTTCATTTAGTTTGTTTCACTGCATTTCTCAGGAAAGAATGGCTACGGCTGGGCAGCATGGCTAAAGAAGATGCAATGGAGGACTTTGTGAAGCTTCTGAACTCCTGTTGTAGTCTGTTTGCGCCATATGTGACATCACATAAGATTGAGAAGGAGGAACAAGAGAAGAGACGGTGTGTTCTGTATTAGTTACAGTGCCTAAAGTTTCTTATAAAGTAGTCTATTAATCTGTTAACTTGTAGGAAGCCCATTTTATTCTGTGTGTTTGTGTGTTTAGAAAAGAAGAGGAAGAACGTCTCAGGCTGGAGAGAGAAGAGCAGGAGCGACAGCGACTGGAAGAAGAAGCACGACGCAGAGAGGAAGAAGAGAGGAGAATAAAAGAGGAGGAACAGAGAAGAAAAGATGAGGCAGAGAGGTTACAGTTAGAGCGGCAAAAGTAAGTGCTAGTGGTTTGCTGATATTCAATGAATGGTTTCACTTTTCTGAGCATAAAGTTGCTCTAAATATCTGTCTATCTATCGATCTATCTTATAGCCTAGAATATAAAATCAAAACTTAAATAAATACATTTTAACTCTGCTTTCAGTAGAATTCAGCTTTAAGAAAGTGTTTATCTCTATGTGTACAGACAACAGATCATGGCTGTTCTGAATGCACAAACGGCAGTGCAGTTTCAACAGTATGCCAAACAGCAGTATCCAGACAATCCAGACCAGCAGCAGTTACTCATCAGACAGCTGCAGGAACAGCACTACCAACAGTACATGCACCAGGCCCTCCGCTTACAGCAGGTACGAGTACGACCAGAGACTTTAGATTCAAGTAAGCTTCTTATCATGATTCTTAAAGGGGATGTTAATATTTTGACATAATAAGAGGTCTTTGTACCTTTAAAAAATCCTGCAAGTGTCATCGCTTAAAACATTCTCCTTGGTACAAAAAAGCTAAAAAAAACGACTTGTTTGCATATTGTGGGATTTGTGACATCACTCACACGCATATACAGGTGCATCTAAATAAATTAGAATGTCGTGGAAAAGTTCATTTATTTCAGTAATTCGTCTCAAATTGTGAAACTCGTGTACTACTTCAGTCTGTGTACATTGAATTTATTTAATACACGAGTTTCACAATTTGAGTTGAATTACTGAAATAAATGAACTTTTCCATGACATTCTAATTTATTGAGATGCACCTGTACATTTGTGTATCAAATGAGCTAGAGCAAGGCACCAACATCGTCATGCATCATCACACCATTGGCCATGGCCACTGGTTTTCAGTCACTTAACAGCTGACACCTGTTTACACCGTGTTGTGTTGCATTGTGTCAAAAGCGAATAAACCCATTATAATCACTGCCACTGACTATACAGATGTCTGGCCAATTTCTGACGTAGTCCACATGCTTGAGCTACTACTGACAACAGGACAAATGGAAAAGTAAAGGAACGTTTACGTTTGTCCAGTTTAAAGCATGTTTTCATCTGTACAGCCTACAAAAGGACCTCAGCATCAGAAATGGGTGAATGTCCCGGAGCGCGGTGGAGGATCATATGTTTATTAGGAGCATTTTACTGCAAGTCATGCCTCTAGAGCAAGGCACCAACATCGTCATGCATCATCACACCATTGGCCATGGCCACTGGTGTTCAGTCACTTAACAGCTGACACCTGTTTACACCGTGTTGTGTTGCATTGTGTCAAAAGCGAATAAACCCATTATAATCACTGCCACTGACTATACAGATGTCTGGCCAATTTCTGACGTAGTCCACATGCTTGAGCTACTACTGACAACAGGACAAATGGAAAAGTAAAGGAACGTTTACGTTTGTCCAGTTTAAAGCATGTTTTCA